TAGATGCAACTTTCAAGGGAAATTTTTCTCTTACTCTCGAGAAAAAAAAATCGGCTACACTTCACTGGCTAGTGCTTTAATTTCAGACGACTATATAGGTTTTGTGTATAGGCCACTACATGGCACCGTGTGTTGCAATGAGTTTCACGTTATAAGGAAGACAGCTGGGTCTGAAGGTCAACCAAAAGAGCAATAACGGCCCTTTTACACACAAACTCATGTTATAAGATCATGTTTAGTTAAATCACTCACAAAGAAATGGTCAAATTTAGGTAGGCCTAAGTTTTGTATGAACCTTTTAATTTAGTGTAGCCTATAAAAAAGGCTACGCGAAACACACTCACACCCACAAAGTTTTTAAAAATTGTAAAAACAAAATAGCCTACACAAAATCAGCTATTAAATTACGCAGGACTGTTCCTAACCCTGTTCCTGGGAATGAAGTCTTGTCTTGCCATTCGATGCATCCGTACCGTTATCCGGATTGTGAGCTAAAAGTGTTTACTTTGTATCTTCTCACCTGGAATATAAATGTCACCGCGTTCATGATCCGGTAGATTGCTCCAGCTTCTCTTGCCGAGTGAATTACCCGTTTTCTTCACTAGAAAAGCTCGTGGCATGGTCTATTCCCGAGGTCCTTCCCGCTATCTCTCAAAATTAAAACGGCAGGCTTTTTAACACCGACCTACTTTTGGAAAAACTGCACCACGATACAAATTAAGCGTAAAGTTCTTCTTGGATGGTGTCTTCAATTGCCTTATCCTCAACTTGGAAAAGCAAATCCGAGCTCTCCGCTCTATACGCACACCTCTTCACTCCAAACGTTGTGTACCTGTACAGGTTTCCGTGGAGTTTCCCACTACATCTACCCGCTTCTGCTTACACCTTCCGCTGTCTTCCGCTACACCGAGCTCACGAAGTCTTCCTCGGAAATTCACTCAGTCCTCCTCGGAAATTCACTCAGTCCTAGCTAGGTGTCTTTGTCAAGGCGGGAGGTGATGTTTGTGGCAGGTAAATAGTCCAAACTGCTCAACCGACGCACTACAAAGCGAATTTCAGCGGCTGATTAGAGCGCAGGTACACATTTCATGAGGAAACATGTAACAATGCGCATGCGTCTGAATATAACGGTGACAACAGACCCGACCCAGTCCGGCCTCTGCGTCTTACCTGTACAACCGGTTTTCTCTTTCTGTCTGCCCCCCCCCCTCCCCGGAACAATTCCGCTTCAAGGTGGCACCGAAGTGAATGTAGAGGTAGTAGTCTACGAGGCAGGATGTGTCCAAAAAACGAACTAAAAAGAAATCTTACACCGATTGTAGGCTATACAGTTAAAGTTGCCTATTATGTCATGTAAAAAAGCTCGAAAGACTGTAGTTTCTTCTTGGGGTTTTCTCTGACACCTTAAGAGCATTGGGCATTTCTATATGGTCGAAACAGCTCAAATGACAGAAGGTCATTTATTTGTTGTTTAGTGTTTAATTTAAACTCATATTGCGTATTGTTCATTAGACTAAGCATTACGCATGGGAACAGCCAGTGGTGTGATAATGATAAGGTTTCTTGTAACTGCCAAATGCAACTTGCACACTCTTTCTTAGTCCCTGAAAATAAAACTTTAACAATGTTACAATGAAACTTCTGAGACCTAATCCCTCCAGCATTTCAAACCTTATTTATAAAGGCAACTGATAATGACGGTTGAGCTAACAAAAACACCTCAAGTGTACACAAAACAGCAGCTCTTCATGATGCTAATTGAACAATTAGGAAAATACTCAGTGCTAACAGTTTCATGTTGGCGAAAGACCATATCTGCTGTTTTGTAGTTTCACTTAAGCCAAAATGGCTGCTAAAGTTGCAGTAAACATATTGTATACTTTCCAAAATGATCATGCTGTTCTTCGGCCTGCTTCCAAGATATGAAAACCAAATTTTACATGAATTCCTAACATGCTTATTTTTCTAGATGTAAATGACCTAGATAATGGGAGAAGAGAACAATATATAAATGGAAAACAGATTGAGGTAAAAAGAGCAAGCAGGTGGAAAGATGAAGAGATGATAGCACAAATGAGAAAGAGAAAGACTTTGAGTGAAAGAAGGAGTGAGTAGGTGTGCAGAATGACAGGTATGCTGTCTGGGCTGTTGGAGTGGTTGCGGCAGAACATTTGGCTTAAGGTTTTTTTTTTTTAAATCAGCCTCTCCATCCATCCCTCACTAAAACTTAATCTGAGAAATTATCACAATTTCAAACTTCTAGGGGTCTATAGTTGAAAATACATTCAGCGTTTCCAGTGAACAAGACTCATATCTGCAGGGCTTGCATTCTATAAGCAGTTATAAATCAGTTCAGCCACAAGACGGATGTCCCATGCACCTGATACTGTAACTTTACTGTTACAAACATTGATCTCAAAGATGGAGACGTTGGCTTTCATGCAAGTAGAGCTGGCAGGAGGGCAAGAGTCAGTACATTCAAGCTCAACCTGATAGACGGCCTACGACCATGTCTCTGACAATCACCCCATCCCTTCCCCCATTTCTCTTCTTCTCACCTTGCTCAGAGCCTGCTTTGCTTCATTCACTTCTAAGCCATAACAATGACTGGTAGTGACTTTTACTAAAGCTATGTTTTTGTTTTTTTTCCACAGCCAGGTGGAGTTGTGACCAGCATGCATTACTGCCACAGCATTTGTGTGACATGACTTTAGCGTGCGTCACAGCTGTTGACCAGAATCGATTTGCGGTCTGAAAAGATAGTTTGGAAAAACTCTTCTCACAGATCAACATTCTAGAGTGTATTAGTGAGGAATGTTGGTTGGTTACTATTGAAATATGGTAATAGTCATCACACACACATGCTCTCTCATTCTGTCTTTTTTGTTATGTCGGATGTGCGTTCCTGCTTGGCTTGTTACACCTGTGATTTCTGCTATGTTGAAACTTAAAGTTCACATGATTCACTTACTTGAACTTCCTGGAATGCTTTATTATTCTCATCACTATCTTTTTTCTTTATTATTAAGTGGCAATATTTGCCACGTGGAATTGTTTTGAGGCATTTTCTTTTACTTTATGAGGGCATCCCCCCCATCCATTAAACAAAATACAGTGTTCTGTCCATTTATGTCAAATACTTCTATTGAAACAATTGACTGAATTAATTTTCATTATGAGGATCAATATAGCAGCAGTTGCTAATGTGCAAAAATATAACAGCACAGTAAGGGCTCTGCTTGAATACATTTTAACATAACCGGTTGGTGTCTGTGTATATACTAAGTTCACAGATTCTACGTTTTTTTGTAGTGTTGTTTATATGTTCAGTGTTTTCAGAGCTTTAATGAAATGATTTTAATAAAAACAAAAAAAAAAACACTTCATGTTTGCTACACATTCAACAACATACACTTCTGAGGCAGCAAATACAAGCACCTGACAGCTACTGTAGATGAGCACAGTATCTACAGAGACATTTAAACCATGCTGAGCCCGTTTGACCTAGAATAGAATATCAGTGAAATACTCAAAAATAAAAAACAAAAAAGGAATTTTTGTCTCTGGTTCATTTCTGACCCTGATACATATTAATTTTTTTTATTAATTTCCCTTATAATTCCCCCTGAATTCTCATTTCATGCACACATTTATTTGTTAGGTTCACATGGCATATGTGATTGTAGGCTACATCTAATTTTACAAGTTACTGAAATTCATATCTAATTATTAAAAAAGTTTTAGACATGTTTAGAAGTGAAAATAGCAAACATTAATTAATACTATTAAGTAATTAGTACTTAACATTAATACTTAAAAACACAGAAACAGATGGTGCCAGAGAACTTGAACAAAAAGTTTATATTAAATACAATAAAAACAAAATGCTAAAAAAGTCTGTAGAAATGTAATGTTTTGATATGAATGAATTTTCTGTACTGATTTTTCGAAAAAAAAAAAAAAAAAAAAAAAACCCAAATAATCGGGG